TTGGAAATTGTTTGAGAATTCAGTCCGCACCGCAAAGAAAACTTTTCGTCATTACAGTGATAACGCTGTTTAATGAAATAATCGCTGTTTAGGCTGAGAATCACAAGAAACTAACGAATCCAGGATGAATAGTTACTGGTCGCCAGAGCAGGTGTCACAGAAATTACCACTGAGCCTCAGAGGGTTGAGAAGGGCGGGTCTGCATCCCGCTTTTCGCACGGCGTGATCGTAGCTTGTAGTGTCAAGGTCTCCCGTTGCACTGTGTGTTCACCTCGTCATTGTTAACGCGAGTTCGCCTTAGAAAGCGCTCTCAGTTGCGGGGTTCTTCAAGGCAACCCAGTTCTGAAAGTTTAAAAATTCTGACCGGCAACCTTTCACGACTTTAAGGCAGCGTGGTATCGAAGTTTGTCTCTGAGTTTTAAAGACCGAAGTAGTTGATACACGTAATGCTGTTCGCCGTCCACAGCCCTCAATGAATGTGGGGTTCCTGAAAGCCATTCAATATAAAGTTAGCGTTTTTGGGTGCGACGAGAAGAAATCACATTTGCATTGGCCACTCAGTTAAAAGCAGATTTAAATTCCACGAATGTTTTGCTACAGAATCGTTTTTGTCATCCCGTCTACAAACGCATAATTCGACTCGTTGTTTTGTGTTGGCGCAAAACATGTTCTGTCCTCCAGCCGCACGTGACTTCATGGCGTGGTGCTTAATTAAGCACCTGGGACAACTTTGTCTTTGCCTTCATCGTTACTAACGTTCCAGTGTATTGATTGAACGTACCTCAAATTACGAGAATCATCGAATGACTAAAAAAAAGCAACTTTCGGTCTCTTAAAACAGTTTTAAAGTAACTAATAATTGGCAATTATGACTATTTGTGTTGAAAATAATTAACAGACGGAAGTCTTAACAAAAGACGCAAACAAGGCGACTGGTCATGTGGCGAGAATCGGAACTACCCACCTCGCCATCCTATTTTATGAACAGACGCGAGTATGAGCGCCCTCGTGGGGGTAACCCTGAATGTTGTAGGAGTGGTTGATTAACAACAAATTAATCAATCACTGTACACGCGGCTGCAAGACTCATATTATTATTCAGTCTGCGCATGCGTGCTGAATGGTTAGTTCTGAAACCACACGCTTCAGCACTTCAGTATTGTAACTGTGTTTATGTTGTGTTGTGTGTTTCAGATTCAGGATAGACAACACAGATCACATCATCGATGTAAATAAGGGAAATATACCTTTCGAATACGACCAAGTGAACATCATCTGCCCCGTCTACATGCCCGGAACTCACGAGGAAGACGCGGAAAAGTACATCATTTATAATGTGAGTGGCACGTTCTTCATCTGTTTCGCCTTACATAATTGAAGTGGGACAACTGGTATCGTAATTCAGGGCTGTCCAGATGAAAAACCATTGAAACGTGATTCGTCACGTAATCCGGAGACGATGGCGAAGTAGTTTCTCCGGGTTTTGACGCCGTGGGCAGGCACCGGGTGGCGTGGTCTCCGTCTTTAGCCTTGAACCGTTGGTATCTACGAGAACCCAAAATATCATCATCGTTACCCTTCAGTTTGTTTGAGAAATCATGCCAACGAGGGTATTATCTTGTCAGCGAACGCCAAGAGTTGGTTTATTCCATATTACACAGAAATTCGTAGCCCGATTAGTAATTATTGTGAGTTGTCCGTGCGCCTTTCATACACATTTTTCCCACTTCTCCCCGTGACAGTTTCCCTTCAGCCAAATGCCGGTATAATACGTAGTGTCACATTTCTCCGTAGTCAAAACCCCGCAGGTGTTTCAACGCCACAGAAAATACAAAAAAATATGTGGACGAACACGATAAAAAGTAGACCGAAATTAAACGAATGTTCCCACCGCTATTTAGGCTGTGGTTCTTTCTTGTATGTGTGACATTTCTAATTTTTACGGCGTAGGTCATAAACATTTTATGGTAGCGCGGCTTGCAGGTTTCAGATTATCCGCGGGGCATGCGCATGGATACACAATGTTGTGCTGAGAACTGACAGCGATATGAAGTTGTGGCGTTATAACCCTTCGAAGCACATCTAAATAATATTTACAAATGTAGTTTGTACCTCAGAGATCAGTGTGTTAATTCTGCTATGGAAATAGCCGCTGTTTATTCTGAGTTACATACGAAACACATAAATACATCGTAAGCTAATTGTAATCATGCTTTGTTATTCCCCCTCCCCCCAAGGGAGCATGCCAAGTCAGGTTTTGTACAGTAAATTTGCCCCATCCAAGTCTGTTTAAATGTAATTTGTGCTCTACTGTTTGCAAACAACCTGTGGCTTCCAGTCTCCTGTTAGAAGGCCCGTAATGTAGATTTTTGGCGAGGCAACCGAGATGACTAGGTCAGTAAACTGGCTGACTGCGTTCACTGGTTCGCATCCCTTGTCGAAGACCGGCTTTGGGCCCCACTCGCTCCTCTCTACGAAGGAAATCGAGACTTTTTCCGGGGTAAATTGGCAGGAACGTGAATCTCGCTGCTTTGCCTCCAGTTCTCCATACGTCTCCATGGTGTGCGTCTACTAACTTTTATCGGGTCCAGAGAAGCTGTGCTCCTCTTAGCAATGGTTTTCATCGAAGATAAATAGACAAATTATCAAATGAAGTAACAAAATGATTTAAAACATGTTTGGTAGTGCTAAGGCGTGTCGGAGTACAACCTATTTCTTTCGGTCTAGAATGTTTGGTTATTCTAGACAGGTCGTAACAAACACTCTCCGTCTTCGGCTCCGACAAGTCGTTATATCCCAACTAAGGCGAATGGTTGCGGCGAGAAGCAGAACTAGCGACCTCATGTACACAACCACTGTCCTTTGGCGGAGTGTGCGGTAATTGAATTTCCAATGTTCTTCCTGACTTCTCGTAGACATTGATGGACTGCTGGAATCAAATATCCGCGGTGAAATAAACAGAAACGCTGTGTTCTGTTGTGTCTCAGTTTACATGCAAAAGTTGAGACTGCTAGAACGAAACAGTCGGCGCGTTGTTAGGCCGATGTAAACAGGACGATAGCAGGTGAATTGATCAAAGGAGGGAAAACTGCGACCGCATTTTGCTGCTGTTTAATGTCCGTCTCAAGGTGAGGTTCTGACAGCCACGGCGGATGGAACTGAGGCCGCTCCAGCGCCTTCGAAACGTGTTGTCTGCCTGCTTGTATTTTTGGAAGCAAAACTAATTTTCATTCAGGCTCAGTAAGGACAGGCCACTTATCTGCCGTTCGTGAAATTTATGTTGTCTCTGCCAAGTACAACACAGACCAGATGTGGCGGTGACGATCAGTTTCACGTTCCGTCCATCTTTAGCCCCGGGGAAAGAAGGCGAATACAGAAAAGGGCGTCTAATTCGGGGAGGTGCTACCGCAGGCAGACTCAGAGGACACTGAGGCGAAGACGGCCTGCCAACTTGTAAACTGTAGTTAAAACAAATTGAAACATTTTCTCTGTGCTGCAAAAATGGTTCTTCGCTCAATCCGTTTTAACAGAAAACTCGTCGATGTTATTGCGAGAAAGCAGCGGACACAGTTCAGGCCATTGGCAACAAAACTTCTTCTGGAGCTTTGAAATATTTCCTTGCATAGGAACAGGCACGAGGATGGGGTGAGTGGTCAGCGTCACGCCCCCTATCTGAATATATTCCTACTACTTGCGACCAGTGGAATAATTTTTCCGTGTTATTCGTTGCTCTGTGCACGTCTTCACCAATAAAGTAGTCTCAAGTTTGTGCAGGTACTTAATTCCAGCCCATGCTAATTTACGAAAAGTCTTACTTAACTAAATTCTTTATTTACATATGAAGAACTCTGACGGTGATGCACAAGGAAAGTTGTCGAGTGTGGTAATGCCATTGCAGATGTCTTCAGACACGCGTCAGCCCCTCGTGCAAATGCCAGGCTGCTGTCTTAACATCGTAATACCATTAATTATCGTCGGTCGACAGTGTGGCGTTAAATAACCTAATGCAAGAGCAAATGTTTGATGTTCACCAACCACGTGCTTGAGCAGTATTTTTCCGGCATGATTTGCGTTGCGCCGAGCGCCGATTCCCCTGCGGCCGGAAACAATCCGGCACGGCTGCAGACTGGCTTTTCACTTCTCATTGCGCCGTGCATTGTTTCGTAGCCGACATTAGATTAGTCTGCACATTATGCTAATTCGAAACCAATTCTTGTGTCGTTGAATAAACTAGGAGGCAGACAGAGGAAAATGCCAAGGGCATATTTTATGTTTCCAGTCAAAGCTGTGAAGTTAAACTGCTCTCTTTTTGACTTTCTGGGTTCCATCACGTGCCATAGAAATCCTAATGACATTTTCAGTGGTTGCAAAATCTGATCTTGGCATTGTTTGTTCGGAAGAGTGGGAGAAATGATTGACACGCACCCTCTCCCGGTTAAAAGTGCGTGAGAGCTTCTCTGATAGGTGCGTATGGGACTGTTTGCTGATGCATTTATGTATATCATGTTACAGGTATCAAAGGAAGAATATGACACTTGTCGAATCACAAACCCAAATGTCCGGATTATAGCAATCTGTGATAAACCTTACAAGTTGATGTACTTCACCATAACATTTCGGTCGTTCACCCCGCAGCCTGGAGGACTGGAGTTCCAGCCAGGCCAGGATTACTATTTCATCTGTAAGTAACAACTGTGTCTTTGTGCGAGCGATGACATAAAGACGAATTTTACACGTGATCCATGGTTTGCTTTCCTAATAACGCAGATAACTGAAAAGCATCTGTGTGTTGTTTCCCGGCTTTTGTTACGTCACAGCTTCTGTGATGCAAACAGAGGATTTTCCAAAAAAAAGTTCAAGCTTGACATTTGCCAAAGCTTCTGAAACAGAGATGGAAGTGTTTCTTGAGTACTGTGTCCCTGTAATTCCAATTATCTTCGCGGAAAATGTTTCAATCAAGAACCACATTGAGAGTCACGTTCATTTTTCGTGGAATCAACATTTTGCCATTGCACCCCATACTTAAGTTTCATTAATCCATTACACACATCAACTTAGATCTTTTGTCCACTGGCTTAAAGATTTATGAAGTAAGTATTCACTTGTTATCCGTATAAACTTGACTGCTCTTGATTAATTCAAATATTCTTGTGATGCATCACTGTTACTGTAATGTAAGTTTTCTCCTTTTGTCATTGAAAAAAATCATAATATTGTTAATGATTTCCACTAAATTAACAGTGAAAGTCAAAATTAAGATACTAAATTTATCATGCGTATGCCATCTGTTGGTTGTAATCAGAACTGATGATTGCATTAAAATGCATGAGTTGTGTTTCTATAAAATGGCGTCTTGAACTTGGTGTGTGCGAACCATTCTAGACTCCATGGAATGTTCAAAGATGCTATTAATATACATATCAGGAAATAAATTTCAAAGAGTTGAGGTTTCATTCTGTTTTCCAAATTATGCCGGCTGGGGCTGCGTATACTGTGAAAACTTCAAACAAAAAAGGTTACTTTATTTAAGATGTGATGTATGAGGTTCAATTAAAACTGAAAACTCCAACTAAGTCGACGCATTTACCGACAGGAGCGCGGGGTCGTACTTCGCGTGTTCTAATCCTCACCTCGTACCGTGTATTTGTCACCGAACAAAAGGGGTTTATTACGAGAGATCAATTATTCTCTTTCTTGAAGTTCAATTTGTGTTTTTCAACAGAATGGATAATTTTACTTCTGCGAAACGAACGCCGCACACGTGTAACAAATATTGCAACGATGTGGCCACAAGCGCGGTGCCCCAATGTTATATCTGGAAGCCTGAAATATTCCATTAGGATGATTCACTGCATCTGCAGTGTGAAGAAGTGCATTGGATTTTGGAATTGATACTTGAATGTCATTTACAATTAGAAATAAGAAGTAGGACTTGAGGTTTTCACAGCGGTGAGTCTGAAGGTGGCTGTCGTCTGGGTCTGTTAGAAGTTTAACAATGTTCGGAGGTCCTTGCTGTCTCTATTATCAGGTCATCTACCCAACTGCATGATGCTAGAACCCAGAAGACAGCCATCTTAGAAATAAGTAAGTGAGAATTTTAGTGGAGAATTCGTAAAGGGGCTAAAAATACTTTGCTTGCGTTTATGTATCGTCTACTGCAAATGCATCTTTCGACACTGCAAAGCAAATTGCGTCGTTCTAGTCGAAAGAAACTTACAAGAAATATTAAAATTCAAGTGTTTCTGCGTGCATTAAGTATTATATTACATATACGTACGTGTCTCCTGTTCGAAATGTGACCTACAACTTCAGTTTGTACTTTTCAGCCACGTCCTCCAAGGATGACTTGCATCGGCGTGTCGGTGGACGTTGCTCCACCCACAATATGAAGGTCGTCTTCAAAGTATGCTGTCGACCAGAGGACCTGAATAACCAGAGTAAGCGTGAATTTAAAGACTGGCACACGAAAATGTGTGATTTATTCATGGTTTGCTGTCTCCAAGTGCCATTTTGCCTGTCTTGCCCATCATGTGGTTCCATTCTCAGTTCTTAGGTTTGCAGAATTGAAAGTAATGCAGTGGAAATTGTACTCTTTTATTCAACAGACTTGCAGTAAGTGAATATTCACAGCGATAAGTAGCGCAGGGGTTCATAACTTGCGAGTTAAAGATCCTTACAAACTCATTGTCTCTTAATACTGTTTCCTCCTGTTCACAGCCGTTTTCAACCGCCTGCCGAGTACGACCGCAAGTACGAGCGTGCCTACCACGCCGGCTGTCTCCACCACGAGTACCACGACTCCGCTCCCAACCACAGCGAAGCCGACTTCGTATAAGGACATGGATATTCCTCACTATAATGTCAAGTCTACAACCAAAAAGACCAGTACGTTTCTTGTGTGCTGCACTTTCGGTTTGGTTGAAGGTGACGGAAAGAGAGTGAACTGTCAGCAGCTGATGAAGAAGCTTTGTGGCCTGCTCTGATGCGTGAAAATTATTTAATTCTGTTGATTTTCCATTAAGAGAGTTGAGCTCTGAAGGGCTAAGAACTGAATGGACACGCTACTTGTCCGTGCAGTGATACTCATTAATTTTTTTGAAATTTTGAGGAAAAAAGTAACAAATCAGATTCACAATGAAATTAAGAGCATTCCCTCATATCGGTAATTCGATGGTTAAGAAATGATCATTGATTGGCCGGTGAACTGGACGTGAGTAGGCGGGCAGAATGTGCCAGCGCACGCAGTGCAGTTGGTTGTCTTGACTTGCTGCGTCCGATGTCTTTTGAAGTTTTCCTTAATGCGATTCACGCTTGAGTGAAATTAATTTGAACCCTTACATGGTTTATAAGCAAGTCTTTTACTTTATTAAAATTCAGGCGTAGCTTGTATTTGCGTACACACAGTAGTAGAAAACAGAGTTTTACGAGGCCTCTGAAGCTGTCTTCTTTAATGTTGCATGAAAGTTCATTATTTATTTGCGTTATGACTGAAGTGAGAGTAGCGCGATGTTCAACTCAGGCACTGTTTGTAATGTTTGTTGAGTGGGTCGGTTGCGTTTTAAATCTTGAGTAAGAAACTAAACTAGCCCCACTTGACACCCTCCCCCCGGGTGGGGATGGGGGTTAGTTTAGTGTCTTACATATTTACGTCAGATTCTCCGGAACCGTGGTTCCACTGCCATTTTTCTTCTTCTCTGTTCTTACCGAATAAGTTTTTCTACGTGTGTCGTTAATATGGTCTCGTCTATCATTGTAAGTCTTCTTTCGCTCTTCCTTATTTCTTAAATAGGTCTGATGTTTTAGTTCTTTACGTCGCTGTTCAGAGGCCAATTGTTCTTGGTCAGACAACTTTCAACGTCCAACTCCACCCTTGCAAATCTTCGTCTTAAGATCAATCATAAAGTCAGTTTTCGTAATCGTAATATATCGAATGAGTAGTATTATTAGTATCAGTTTACCTTGTTGGAGTTGGTACTTCAAATAGTTGATAACATCTTCTTTCACTTTTCTTCATAGCTCTCGGGGTCGTGGGGATACGCAAACTCCACCACCCACGTTAAGGTCCTGTACTCCCTAGGTGGAGTTTTTTTTGCAACCAAAACAGAAATTTCAGTTCTTTCATAATATGCGAACCGTGCTGACGTGTTAAACTTTTGTGCATTTCTTAATTTAAACTAAATTCATTTGTTCATTGTCAGAGTTTGCGCGCGCATCATACTAATTCACGTAATGCTTCTATTGCAGATGAATATGAGAAACATCCAAACGAAGTGGTGAAGAATGAAGAGCTAACGTACAGTGGTGCCCGAGGTGCAAGCTACTGCCATCTGCCAGCGGCGGTGGTGTCCGGCGTACTGTTATACCTTACAGTGCGGCTAGTCGGGCGGTGAGGAGGATCAAGTCATCTCCTCCTCCGTGTATTATAGTTGTACATTATTTATATGTGCCGCACGTGGCTTCCGCCTAGGCACGGAAGGCTCTCCATCCGTCGTTCTTGAACGAACAGGCTGCTCTCCGTCGCCGATGCATCGTCTCTGGAGGCGTGTCCTAGTCGAACAGATGGCGCAGGAAAGATGGAACCAAGTGAAGCTGTCGTTACCTCCGAACACGCAAGAACGCGTGCCCGTCTGTTGCCACAGATGTGACATGAATCAGAACAAGTGTGTTTTTATTTACTTCACTTATTGGCCCATACGTTTATTTGTAAACCTGCAATTGAGGAGGAAATAAGACTGGACTGGATCTAGTTCAAGATGTATGACGAACATGGAAGAAGAAGTGTAATTAAAATGGAATATTTTATATGGCGTGTCTGTCTACAGTACTGGTATAATTAACGTGTGACACGAGAGTTAATATGGACGTGATACTTGTTGGAAACGAGAGATAACTTATTTTCTTGTATAAATAATGTGATTACAGGGGAAAGTCGTATGTTTATTGAAACACGTTAGCTCGTAGATAGCGGACGAGCATTTATCTCTGCTCGCATGTGAAGAAATGAGTTGAGTCCAAATTTTTATTTTACAGTCACGAACTCTTTGAGCATTTGGGATGTGGACTGAAGTTTCCCTTCTGCTGTAAAGAGCGAATATGAACAGAAAGAAAACTGCAGGATGACGATGCATGTTTGTGATAAATCACCGCCACAATTACGTACCGGAACGGCCATCATGCGGACTATAGCGAACTTATTCTTCCTTTGCAACAAAGGGAACTGTTGTGGGAGGTGGATGTTTGTACGTGTGTATGTCAACACTGACGAGTATGTTGTGATAGTTGAGTAGCCATGTTAAAGCAGTACCAACATTGTAAACAAAGTACTATTTCTTATAGTTGCCTCGTTACAGTGAATGGACATATTTTCTAGGATGCAAGTTTTAGAACACAATGTACATCAGACAGAGTATTGAAATTTGGCATTCTTTTGTGGGAGCTCGACTCTTTGCCAGTCGTGCGCTGTACGCTGTAAGTTGTTGTAGCTGCTGACGTGCTCATATAATTCAGCTGTTTTCTGAAAACCTATCCCAGAAATCTATCCGTATAATTTGACGACAAAAATCGGATACCAAGAACAAAAGCCCTTAGCCCGGAGAGAGTACAGAGGATGCAAAACCATGGTGACGATCAGTCTTCAAGCCAAATTATTTTCACTGAAGCTCTTCAGAGCATGTATGGGTTGGAAACAAGCGACTGCTTACGTTGCCTTAGAATGCCCTCACATTGCTCTGCATCAGAAATTGGACCCCAACTGTGATTTTAGAGTTGGTTTCGTGCCTTAAAGTGTCTCTTCTGCCCATGTTACGCACCCCTGTAAGCTCTGCAGGCCACAAAGAGAATGTGCAATGCAGACATTGAGTTGGACCTGAAAGTTGCCAGAGGAGGCGACGCGCGTCGTGACGCGTGTCCGTGTCGGATCACTTGCTCACTCTTCGTTCACGCGTTGTTACGTGTTTTCTAGGGCTTTTATTATTGTTTTTATGCAGCCACAGAGTGACAATACACAAGCTTCAAGATGTGATACAGCCTCCAGCAGTCAACAAGATGCTTTCTCATTCATAATTTTAATTTTCCCACATTTGAAACCTTTGTGACGCTTTCTGTCTGTCTTCGTCTGAAGAGACGTAAACCCAACGCGAGATGATAGCGGAGGATGGCAAATACATTGCCAAAGCTAAATTACTTCTTAATTGTAGAAATGAAACAGTGGTTAGAATTGTGCTATGTAATTATGTGTATATATGGTATATAAGTATTTAAGTGCCATAAGTGGATCTGTTGCTGTATTTTTTTCTTTTCCACACACAAACACACACAAAACACATGTATACCCATAATATAAATATCTGCAGGAATAGCCATATTATTGTGTGGGATAAACTTGTCGTAAGCTGAGTATCGATTCCTTCCGTACCTTTCCAGTGTATAACGTGAACAGTGTAGGGACTTCCTTTGTACTTAGCATGATGCCATCCCAGAAGCTCACTCACACTGGAAGTTTGTCTTCTGTTTTAATTCTAGAGTAACGCTGAGCTATGCTGAACACGACTCGCCATTCCGATCGCTCCCCCTCGTGGCCCTGAAAGTAGTACTGCCGTACTCAATCACTGTGCATTCAGTGCCTTGAGAATTGCAAGCAAAAGCTGATAATGGGGCTTCGGTGTTGCTTTTCTTTTGCTAGCTTAAGCCTTGTCTGTAAGTTGCTCACATCACCGAACAGTCTGCATGCAGTGGAATTGATCCAGCATCTTTAACGCCACGTTAAAGCGGCCAAATTTGGTGCATCCAGGACTTCCAAAGAATGTTTGTTTAAATGGAAGCATAGATCTATTTGTTTTCTAATTCTGAACTTGTAGGTTAAGCAGCTGTAGGTACACATACGCGTGTGTTTGTGAGTCACGTTATCTGATGCTTAATATTGCTGGAGAATGATTTGTGATGTGCGCTGTCTGTTGCCGTTCTGTTTCCGCATTTCCATTGCTGTGTGACATTTAATTGTTTGCTGTGAAGTCGCCACGGAACGTATCCAGTAGCTGATAAACTGAGTCGCTTCCCTGCTTGTTCTGAACCGCCTTCTTTTCCTTGTTCTCCTGTGTTCAATATGTAGATAGGAAAATATATCTGTTTTATCTTGTAATAAACTTGTTTATAACAAAGGAGGAGATGGCAAAGCTATTGAATTATGCTGTACATATTTCATGCATAAAAAATAGTCGCAAAACAAGTAATCAAGGTTAAGTGAATTTATTTATATTAAAACTGTATGTAAGATAGTTCAGATTTTGCTAAAGGAATGTGTTGTGTCGTATCTACCGATAATGTCAAACACTTATGTACAAAGAGGCAGTTTATTTGTGAAGCATGCAATGGAGGGTGTGTCAATGTGCGCCCAAACTGGGTTTGGGGGTTGTACCTGTTATCAACAGCGTATGTTAAAGCATTCCTAGGGGTTAAGAAAAACACCTTGGGCCAGCAGCACTTGTGTAAGTTCTGAGTTTCTTTTGCAGTGTGAATGGAGATGATTTGAGTCGTCGTACAGTGGAGTATTTTGGCTGTTTGCCGGCATTTTAGGGGAACATACCGCCTTCATCATAAGGGCTGATTTTACCCTTTCTTACATGTCCCAGCCTTCATTTCCGGTGCCCTCAAAAAACTCTCTTCTAATCATGATTCTCTCATCATCTCCCCTCTCATTCCTTGGCTGGCTCCGATTGACCGGTCCCCGTGCCATGATCCGTCTCCTGTCCCTGCATCAGCCAAGATGAGAGGGGCAGTATGTTCCTCTAACATAATGGCATGCGGCCAAAATACATGGTGCAATATCCAGAAGATAATTGTGTAACAATACTTTTCTTAGATAGAATATCTGCATACTGTACGCAAGAGCTAAGAAAGTCCCTGTAACATGCTGATTCATGAGTTGAGAATGTTGGTCTGTAGTATAAAGATATTTCTCATGTGTTTGTTCTTCGCTTCTCCATTAATTTATTTGTTTTATTATTGGCTCTAACTTCCGTTGTTTCAAAGTATTACTACTAAAGTTAACATCAAATTGGAACAAGCAAATGTTTTTTGGTCTGCTAGTAGTGGAGCATGTAACTTCCCAGGCTGCATCCATCGCGCTTAACTCTTGTGCGGTAGTGCATGTGTGTTGTACCTCACAGTAGGGGTCTGTGATTCTTGTCCTTAGTTTCCTGAGAGTACGGAAACTAAAGGATATAATCAAGCGTACGTTGGATTCGTTGATATATTCACTGTGCAGAGTTTCAAGAAAATAACTGTCACTCACATTGAAAATACCAGCAAGGTAACGGAGATGATCGATCACACGAGGCAGATTTTTTCATTGGTTTCCTAAAATAAGCATATATGAAGTTCAGCGACAGAACACAAGCTTGCAGAAAACTTCCGCAGCCCATGTGAAGGGCCTGAGGCGTGAGGGTCGTGAAATGCGTTTAAGATTTCAGAAAGATAATATTAGGAAGGAATATGTCCTCAGTCTTTCCACTTGCACTTCACTTGATGTTTATACTCATATCACATTATAAATGTATGTGTAAATGGCATATTTAATTTGTTCGTTGAATTGAATAATTATTTGTCCATGAAGTAAGGTAAGCTAGTTTTATGATTTCTAATTGTACTCAGGGGCAGTAGATATTTTACTTAAAGATGATAGTTTTGGCAACAGTGATTCTCAGAAAATTATCATTGGTGCTTATATGCACATAAAATAAGTCTCTATTTTGATTTGAAATGTCTCATGTACTGCATTAAGTCTGTGAATTGTTTGGTGCACGTCTTTTGCCATGAATCTGCACTTGCCATTTCCTTCTTTCCATTTAGAATTGAAGTCGATGGCCGTCTCCCTCTTTATTCCTAAGGCAGCTGCTGTTCGAGATTCAGATAGGTCATACCAGGTTAGCAAACTTGTGTGCATGAATCAGTTATTACACAAGGTTTTTGCAAGTGCTGCTGAATCATTCCCTGGACACAAGAATGATTGGCAGTTATTAGTTTGGTGGCTTTTAGTTGCAATGAGCACACAAATTATTAATGGATGATAATAGTAATTACAACAAGAAATTCAGGCCTGGCACACAACTAGAATAAGCTCACCATCAGCCAAAATTGTGTTCAGCTTTCATTAAAGGGGGAAAAAAGTATAAAACAAATGCTCAAATGCCAACAAGAAAAGAGCAAAGTCTGTTACAGAATTTTTGTTGCAGTCCAGCCAGTTGTAAAGGCTGTAATGATTTTGTCTGTCTGTGTGTGTTACGTATGCGCGCGCACATATTACTGTATTCCATTAATAACCTCTCCAGATGAACTTGACATGTGTGTGCTGATGTGTAGTGGATTTATCAAATGGTACAGTGGATGTTTTTCCTGTTATTTATATTCAGCACCTTTGTCACTATACACCATACAACATGATGGGAAATATTTTATAACTGACTTTTGTACAGAATAAAATATAATTATTGTAACGTGAATCAGAAGAAGATGGGTCTGTTGATTTCACCTTGTACTTATGACTTAAAGATTTTGATATTTTCAGCACAAGCATTCAGAGGATCACGTGAGATATGAGCATTGTTCTTCCATTGCTGACTTGGTTAATGGAGACGTGTGCTTCTTGACCCTGGCCGCAATGGAATGTCCTGTTTGTCAGTGTATACCATTCCACACTTGTATGTGACTTGTGGTTTTAGACATGAGTCATTGTTGATGGGCCAAAGAAAACTAGCGACAGAAATCTGTTTATGCGAGTGAAAGGTAAGAAATTATCAAAGCTGGATCATGTATGCATGGAAAATTGTGAGACTGGAGAATCTGCTTGTTGCTGATTTATTTGAAGTGATTTTGGAGAAACTCCAGGTCTTTGTGGAAATTATCCTCATCACACACTGCTTTTGCCCCGTACAACAGTGTGGAAAGCGCAGCCTGCTTGTTTTTTAGATGGTGTTGAGGTTTGGAGTCAGGTGGGCTTCTCAAAAGTCATCTGGTCTGTACAGCGATTAACAGGTACATACCTGAAGATTACTGTCTTCTGGGTTGTTGTGCGGTGTAGTCTGCAGATTTCCACCAGACTACATGGCACAATAATCTAGAAGACAATAATCTTCAGACTCACCGCTGTGAAAACCACAGATCCGACAGGAACATTTGCAGCACCTCTTATAAGAAAACTAAGTTGATTTTATAATTTTTATGGAATGAAACCTTTGTATTGGAAAAGTTTTGTAGCACTTTGCAGTCATGCCGTTCCTGCCAGGAAGTGACAGGTGCATTCTGGTTTGTCAGTGAATGTAGTGTACATTAATATTCAGGAAGGGGAGGTCATCGATTATTTCCATCTCCATGTTGAGTAAAGGAAGTGGTCACAGAAGTCCTTCAGTTCTCTTGTCCATGGGTCAGGGGAACATACATGCAATCATCTCATCAGCTGTTTTCCAGCCTCCAAGACTGTAAGCACATTTTTTCCTTGTACGCTGCTTATGAAATTCGCTTTCAAAAAAATTAAACTGCAGTATAATGCAATTTAACTTTTAAATCCCCCAAGTATCTGAATGCAGAATGCAGTACTACTTCAAATTCATTGACTGCTGAATTTTTTTCTTTTGTGTGTTTCTTTAAAGTTTTCTTATGTATGTATGCATGGTCAATGGCTGGTCATGTGACACAAAACTTTGTGTTTTAGTTAAATGTCCATTCAGACATCATTGGCCACAATAATTGTATGTTCTGTTTGTCATATAGGTAAGTAATTTTTAGAAGGTAGTTTTTTTAACAGTTAAAATATTTTATATCTGCAAAGAACTTTTCCATACACTTGAGGGTATAATTTACTATTCTTACATGTATGCATATACGCAATCACCTAATGTGTTTAGATTAAATATTTGGGTCTTGTTAACGAAGTTCATAAAAGTTAAATGTTGTCACATAGCAACAGATAAAGATGTTTGGCTTTCCCGGTTCCAAGTAGATTAAGAAGCTATGGCACAAATACTTTTCTCATGCCAACAGGTAACTAATTTCCGTTTCCGGAAACTTAAAATCAGTGATGCAGAGTTGGCAGCAGTAGTAACTGCGAATTGTAGCTAGTGGGAGAGTGCATGTTAACGTGTCAACCAGGAGAACCATAGAATTGAGAGGTTATTGTTTCTGCAGTGTTATGTTAATACCGTCAATGTGCTGAAATATGGTGCTGGATTTAGATTTGTTTCGTCCGGAGAAAGGCGGTGACCCAAGAAAGATACGAGAAAATCAAGAGAAGCGTTTTAAAGATGTGGCTTTGGTTGATAAGGTTGTGGAGAAGGACGTCATATGGAGGCAGTGTAAGCTGTTCACTGTTATTAATTTATTATGTGTAGACGTAATGCATTTCTAGTAAGAGACCATACAGCTTATTCATTTTGTACAAACTGTAATTCAGTAAAACACGTTCAGTGTTTTTAGGCTATGACGCAAGACCAGTGCCACATTGCATTGAAGTGGCTTTTAAAATTAATATTTTTGATGTTCTTCTCACATGAATTATCAAAATATTTAACATTAAAATCTTAGGCTTGGTGGTTGTAAATATTAAATATTGCTTGTTTGCCCAACTTGAGTATGAATATGTACACAATGATCTGAGAGATTAGTTACATGTGTAGTAAGTGATATATAATTTAATTCTAAATATTTGTTCTATGAGGTTTTGTATTAATTTTTGTCTCTTATAGCAGCGTTATATTTCCAACACATTTCTTTCAGTCAAACAATGGATTAAGCATAAGGAGGGTGAAAATTTGTAGCTTAATGGAATAGCTGCTGGTGGTAGATTGGATTTGCTTTTTAATTAAAGAAGTCAATGCTAATAGTAGAAAGTAAAATAATACATAGAAGATGACGTTATTAACAAATTGCATTGACATTTATGTTGCAGTGCGCCACAAAGCTGACAACTTTAATAAGCTGAAAAATCTTTGTAGCAAGGAAGTGGGAGAGAAGATGAAGGTACGTGTTTTTAATTTTTATTTTTATAATTTCATAGTAATTATGTAGTTGACTTGTCTTGTTTGCTGTCTGTAGCTCAATTGCTTCCCAAATTCACTCGTTAATGAATATGCATATATTATTATTGTAATTTTATTACATTACTTTTTAATTCTCCCTGCATTTCTTTGCAGGCATTGGGAAGGAAGAAAAATGAAATATCTAATGATACAAATTCTCAGAATAATAGAGTAAATATAGCTTTTGGTGATCTGCGTACTGATGCTGGCATGAGTGCTCTGAATGAATTTATGTCTGATAAGAGTTATGTTGGTGGATTTCTTCCATCTCAAGCAGACACATTACTGTTTGAAGCTTTCACGGCCCCTCCTCTTCATTCTCACCCTCATGCCTTGCGGTGGTTCTTACACATACAAAGTTTTGGTGCTGACAGGAAAAATTTTCCAATTTCTGTTCAGGTGAGGTGGTTATTTCTGTTGTAATTCTTTCCTATTTCATGGGGCATTTCACTTCCTTTTGCTTCTTGCTTTTACTAGAAGTTGTTGCTGGAACTTTGCTTTGGTTGTATCGTGTTATGTCACTGATCAATTATTTGACTGAAAGTACGTAAGTACGGTTTTTCTTGTTGTTTACCAGCTGTTGCGACTAATGTTTAATGCAATTCTTGAAGCTGAATGCTGAAATAATACCTTAAAATACTACATGTCTGTTTTATTCCATGTTTTTCTATACATTAACAATTTTTTCGTGCGCTACAACATAACCTACGTGGTTGATAGAAAGTGTCATTAATCCTTTGAGCTGATGCTCATATAAATATTATTTAAAAATTTGGTCTGCACCTTAAACAAAAAACAACGATTAGTTGTTTAATGCTGTTTAATTTGAACTTGATCATATTTGATTTATACAAATAGTTCTTTATTCAGCAGAGGAAGGAACCAGTTGATGGTGATGACAGTGTGTCAGAAAATATTCGGAAGAATTTGGATTCCCTTACATCAGAAATGTTGAAGCCGCTGACCGTAATTCAGCTCAAGAAAGTGCGGGCCCTTGTCGATGAAGCAGTCCAGCAGAATGACCTGGATCTGCAACAGACAGAGAAAGAAAGAAACGGTGCTTTGCGGGAAATTGGCAACCATCTTCACGAATCAGTTCCTGTCAGCAATGATGAGGTACATGATCCCTGGGTGCTCACGTTCGGTGCTGTGGCTGTGCCCTCCTCACCAAGTGATTTCCATACTTGGGCTGGTACAAATTATGTTCTTTGAATCTAACAAAGGCATTCCACCATTTCTTTACTTAGAAGTTGACTTCAAGCCTCTTGACTGAAGATCAATTTGCGTGTTGTTTGTTCAACTGAGAATTGTCATCTAACGGAGAAACTGATAATTAATTTTTTAGGAAGATGGGGCTTGTAGAGCTTGTAGTTGTAACAAGCACGCTGTAATTTTATTGCTAGTTGTAGTGCAAAGGCTTGTTTCACGGAGTTTCTTGCATGTACTTAATCTTCATAAGTTTGTATTGTCTTGTGTTTTCTAGGATGAAAACCGAGTAGAAAGAACATTTGGAGATTGTACACAGAAGAAAACGTACTCGCACGTTGATCTGATTCACATGATAGATGGAATGGATGGAGAAAGAGGAGCGAATGTGTCTGGTGGAAGAGGATATTACTTGATGGTATGGTTTTTTGTATAATAGTAGGGTTCTTTAAATATGAAGCATTCTCAGTTTACAGTCTAACATGAAATAAATTATATCTTGATCCCCAAAGTATACATTCAAATTTAGAAAAGTTTAAGTCAATTGGGCACTTCCTTTGTTTTGTTGTAACGATCTAAGTTTGTGCCCTGCTCTGGTGTTCTGTCACCAGCACTTCCAATCCATCTGCGGTGTGCTGCGTAGGTAGCGCAATGTTGCAGTTTGATTCTCATTTGGATTCTGCTTCTGATCTGGCACTTACTAAGAAAGGAGGAACTTGGTTAATCGCCTACCATTTGGTTATTTCTTCATATATTTTCAGGGTCCCGCTGTTTTCCTAGAACAGGCTCTAATCCAGTTTGCGCTGAAAATGCTCTATGAACGTGCTTATACGCCTTTGTACACCCCGTTCTTCATGAGGAAAGAAGTCATGCAAGAGGTGGCGCAGCTGTCACAGTTCGATGAAGAATTGTACAAAGTTATTGGGAAGGGAAGTGAGAAAACTGAGGATAAAGATGTTGAAGAGAAATATTTGATCGCTACTTCAGAGCAGCCTATCGCGGCTTTTCATCGCGATGAGTGGATTGCAGAACGCAGGTTGCCGATTCGTTACGCCGGAATTTCCACCTGTTTTCGACAGGAAGTCGGTTCTCACGGTCGAGATACTAGGGGCATCTTCAGAGTTCATCAGTTTGAGAAGGTACGTTCACAGGTGGGGAACTGATTGTGCTGATAGAAGCTTTGTATAGGACAGGGCTATCCTACGTAAATCCACTTAAGAGCCACGTTATCAAAAATATATTCTTCTTGACGTACTGATACAAAATCCGCTCTGCAATGATCATATTTATGGAACGTAAGCATGTGCGCAAGGCTGTCTCTTTCATAACACTCTTGTGCACGTATTTCTGTCTTCTGTACCTCGAAACCTTAGAGACTTCTTGAACAATCTATCGATTGCCATTCCTTTCTTTATTCTGTGATATAGCCGAGTGTTAATATGCAGCTCAAAATGGCTGTGCTGAAAGATAAGCCAGCAGCAGAATCCCTGGGTGTGAACGTTGTAATGGTGGCATTTGATAACCTCTGAAAGAACCTGACATTTTGTACGACTCTCAAAACTTCTTGCTAATAATTATAGCTGGAGAATATTTTGGTGTTTTGATGTTAGGTTGAGCAGTTCTGTTTGACGTCGCCGCACGACAACAAATCATGGGAAATGATGGATGAGATGATCTCCAATGCTGAGGGTTATTACCAAGCATTGGGTGTTCCATATCGCATCGTGAACATCGTGTCTGGCGCGCTAAACCATGCCGCAGCTAAGAAGCTGGACCTCGAGGCTTGGTTTCCGGGATCTGGTAAGCCAGTGGCATGTGGAATTCTGCTTTGTGTTGCATTCACCGAGCAAAAAGGCTCTTAAACTTTCGTCTTTTAGAAACTGAATGACATCTTAATGCTATGATTGGTGGTGTTTATGAGGTATCTCATTTGTTGAAATTGGTTACGGTTATATCTACGTTCATAGATATCATTTCTTTCCAAAATTTACCTCGTGTATGACTGGAGTTTTGTCTATTTGCCATTTGGACCACATGCTCCAGTGAGCTGAATTTTTGCACAAAGAAAATTTCCTTGTGGTGTCTGTCTTTATTGTCATATTATACAACCAACGGCCTGGAGCACAGCCCTTCATTGCTTTTTCTGAAAGTGAGGGGTTCATTGCCATGGTCACAAGAGCCTACTACTGGCCTATCCTGAGTCAGATGAATGCAGTCTTTACCTTCTCACCCCGTTTCTCTTAGATACATTTTAATATTATCCTCACATCTGTGTCTTGGCTTTCCAGGTTCCAACTTCTATGTCAACATCTTCATTCAACACACATTTCATTTAATTAGGATTGGAAGGGCAATGTAATTTTCTCTTGTTTCGTAGGAGCGTTCCGAGAGCTAGTCTCGTGCAGCAACTGTCTGGATTATCAGGCAAGGAGATTATTGGTTCGTCATGGCCAGACGAAGAAGATGAACGCTCAGGTAATGTCCGCTGTTCTGATTAGACATTTTGTTTATTTGTAATGGTACTTGCATCAGTGCAATATTGGGACTGTTCTTTTCTGTTCCAGACTGACTTTGTTCATATGTTGAATGCCACAATGTGCGCCACAACTCGAGTGATTTGTGCCTTGTTGGAAGTTTACCAGACTGAAACAGGCATCAGGGTACCAGAAGTACTTAAACCATACTTACCAACAGGTGGGTGAATTGTGCCACGTGTCTGGTAAAATGATTAGAAAAAATCAAATTCTGACAACAAATTTTTGTTTTTATCCAGTAATACAGTTTATGAGTCTTCCTTGGAACAGCGTTTAGACGTTTCATTGAGGTGATTTGACGGTGTAGGATTTTCTAATGCAAACCTATTCACTAAAAGTCCAGTACCAGGAACGTCGACAGAATACTTAAAATAATAAAGACGATTCTAAATACATTGTCCACATCTTAAGAAATCAGCATTTATGAAAAATTTGACCCAGTTACAGACAAAATACTAGATCACACTACCAGAGGACAGATTTTGAATGCAGGTGAAAGCTAAGCAGGATTTTTGGTTTTCACTGCAGTGAGTCTGAAGATGGCCGTCTTCTGGGTTGCTGCGCCGTGTGGACATCTACCAGACTGCACGGCGCAACAACCCAGAAGACGGCAATGTAAATATTTGTGTAATTACTGGATGGTCATGGTCTGTTGAACAGTTTACCAAGAGGAGATCCCGTTTGTGAAACCGGCACCCATAAATGAAGCCGAGACTAAGAAACAGAAGAAGCAGAAGGAAGGAATGAAGAAAAAGGGTGCAGGAGAAGAATGATAATGCAATATCAGCTGAGAGTAACTACAGTGAGTGAAATTTGTTATATAAATTGAACAACACAGGAAGTTTGTTCTGTCTGTGTAATGTTCAAATAAAAATTAGTGTGATTGGCCACTGAATGTTATCTTGTTATCTCAAATTAACTGTGGCTTAGAATTTTGCCCCGATATTATCCTGACTGAACTCTTAGCAGCTGTGGTTATTTTGCCCTCAGCAATAATTTGAGCTTTCTCTTGCTAGATAGCGCTAGCTGATACGTGACCTTTGGCAGACTTCTTTTACACTCCTTTGTATTTTTTCACACATCGTGCATTTGTTTGGCAGATTTTTTTGAGTAGTTGTGATCTTAGATGTGACGTAATTTTTTGATTATCGAGGGCATCATTTACCGTGAGAGTTATGATGGCGAAGCGGACACGTTTCTGTTCGTGAGTCCAGAAGTGATATTTCTACACCAGAAGTAGAAATTTCAGAGTCGGAGTAAGACGCTGCTGTTGACATGCAAACTCTGCAGTGGGTGGAAAATAAGAAAATCATGTCTGCCAGGCAGCAGAAACAAAAATGCTTTCTTAAATTTGAGGTATTGGCCACACTTCTTATTTATTGAGTAGTAATCTAGAAATTTCATTTATGGTTGTTGGTGGCACTGACTGCTGAGTCAGCATCTGCAGTGTTTGGTTGTGCTTGTGTTGTGACCTTGATTACAAGCTACACCCGTCTTGCCTCGGTGATGGTGAACGTGTGAAACGAGCCGTTACAAAATGTAACTGGTGATGGAATGTGGATTACGCTGTATGATCGTGAGAGTAAGCAGCAGAGCACCCATTGGGTGTCTTCAAGCTCACCAAGACCATAAAAAGCTCGTGCCTCTTGAGCAGTTAAAGTTACAGTGTTAGTTTCCTTTTATTGTCGTGGAATGATTCACACATGCACGCGCAGCACCACCTAAAATGACTGTCACTTTGGCTTACTACTGTTGAGTTCTCAAAACCCTTGTGGATCACATCAGAAGAAAATGACCATTTGATATTGGATGGTTCATCATGACAATGTCGGGCCAGATGCTGCAAACATTGAAAAGTAAAGGTGTTCATTGCATCCCCCACCCTCCCTATAGCCCAGATCTAGTGCCTCGTACCTTTTTAGCACCTTCGAGGACAGTGCTTCCATTTTGCAGATGCCGCAGTCAACGCTGCTGAGGCGATTTTAAAGAAGAGGTCAAGAATCGGCTTCAGCCACGTCTCTGACGAGTGACGAGTGTTTTTAGTTCAGGGGAGCCTATTATAATTACTCAGAATAAAGGAGGTTTTACAAAAATCATTTCCAGTCTTTATTGAAAAGCCCTTGTACATAAGCATTTCAGGAAAATGTTACAGATTTCCTTTATTCACCGAGCTGTATTCGCTGTTGTCATCTGATGAATCAGAACTCACCACATTTTGATCCACCAAGTGCTGATATGTCATTTTATATTTCTGCCACAAAAGTACATGACGTTCTTCGTAATAATGATTTTGTTGAGAAATGGTGGTGTGGCCTTGAATGTTTGCTTTTATCCTTGTACACAATTACAATGGTATTTTATTCCTCTTTGTAGCTTATTTTTAGAATCTACGCAATCACAAACCGCAAGACCACACCAAGTAGCACCCCAACAAATATTATACTTGATACGATCCATAGTACGATGATATGCCCCTTGCAGCAGTGTGTGCTTGTCTTCTTCCTTTCCTTGGGTGGAAGTGGTGATACTGATGATTTGGGATCCCTGACTGGTAGAGGTTCTGGGGGCGCAGTATTCTCCGCCGATAGCACGAGAGGTCTTGGTCTCAACATGGGTGGTAGGAGCATGGGAGGGGGTGGGGGCAGAGCCAGCAGTGAGTATTGTGGCGGTGGCAGAGGGGGAAGAAGAACGGGAGCGGGCACGTGGTGCACGGGACACGGTTCACCATCCCACGTGGAGAGAGTCGACTGCATTGAACGTGACGTCCCGAGCGCTGGCCGAGTACCCGGGATAAGATCTGGTTGGCTGAAACCGTGCATTGGTGTGTGAAATTTGATTTTTACTTGTTGCAGGAATTTATATATTGTAGTTTTATAGTAAATATGGAAAGGTGTATTCTGATTTTTATATAAAGAAACATGAAATTAAAAATAGGGTGGGATCGATGTGTGTTCCGTGTGGATAAAAATAGGATTTCTTCCAGAAGATGGAAAATGATGGCCAATTAAGATCTCAAATGAGGAGTGA